CATTCATCAACAACAATGTAACATTCGACGTGTCCAGTTCCTAACCTCACAAGACACAAAGTCTCATAGTACCAATTCCCAAACCTAACTCTCAAAAATTCAGACCCATTTCCCTTACATCTTGCATGTGTAAAGCCTTGGAGAGAGTTTCTGGTCAAAGAATAACTGGCTCCTAACCTATACGGGTTTATGCCCACGTGTAGCGCACAAATATGCTTTGCTGAATATTTTGTACACTCCCAGGATGGGACACAGGCAGCCTTTATTGACCTAAAGTCAGCTTTCGATGTAGCGAATGGTGAAATAATATTAGAGCAACTTGCTGAATTTGGAATCAAAGTTAATCTTCTGAGTTGGATAAAGAGCTACCTATCCAACAGGTGTGCTAGTGTCCTATTTAAAGAAGTTAAAAGTACAAGAACAGATGCATTCGAACTAGGCACGTCTCAAGGTGGTGTCCTAAGCTCTATGCTCTTCAATATACTTATGCACAAACTTATCCATGACATACAGATTCATACAGAACTCAGCCTCAGATTCTGCTATTGAGTTCAATAGGTTCTTCTCTTCCATTGGGTCATCCCTTGCAAATGATATTCCATCTTCCAGTACTGATGTTAAGGACTATCTCACAGGTAACTATCCACAGTCTCTGTACCTAAAGCCTATTAATTCCACTGACGTCAATGAGATAATCCTTTCCCTTAAAACCAAGTCTAGTGCCCTTGAGGAGATACCAACTTTAATTTACAAAAAAGCCTCCAGATCTTTAGCCCCTGCTATTGCATTGCTCTTCAACAAGTCACTTGAACTCCAAACCTTTCCAGATGTTCTTAAAAAAGCAAGAGTAACCCCTGTCCACAAATGTGGTGATCTCACAGATGTTAACAACTACAGACCTATTTCAATCCTGCCTAACTTATCAAAAATTTTTGAAAAACTAATCTACAAGCAGCTTTACTCATATCTAGCCAAACTCAATATACTTAGCCCTTGCCAATATGGCTTCAGACCCAAAAAAAGCACTAACGATGCACTTATTAGTATGATTAACTTAATTCATGCAGCTCTTGATAAAAATGAGTTCCCTGTTGGGTTATTTGTGGACCTGCGTAAGGCTTTTGACACTGTCGACCACCAAAACCTTCTTATTAAATTACATCATTATGGAGTCAGAGGACACTCCCTACAATACCTCAAATCTTACCTTACTGACAGGCTCCAGTATGTTTCTGTGAACAATTCAATTTCTCCCACCCTACCCATCAACATTGGTGTTCCTCAGGGCAGCATACTTGGCCCTCTCCTCTTTCTCATCTTCATTAATGACCTTCCAAATGCCTCCCAACACCTCAAACCTATTCTATTTGCTGACGACACAACCTTCATTTACTCCAGTCCTGACCCCCTTGCTCTAAATGCCACAGTAAATACTGAGCTAAATAAAGTCCATCTTTGGCTAACTGCCAACAAACTCACCCTTAACATTGACAAAACTTTCTATATTCTGTTTGGCAATAAATCCTCTAATCAAATAAATCTCAAAATAAACAATACCCAAATTTGTAACAAATTAGATGGAAAATTCCTTGGCGTTTTCATTGATCACAAGCTGAATTTCCAGGGACACATTCTAAATATATCAAAAAAAAGTTTCAAAAACTGTTGGCATTCTTTTTAATACCGTACCAGGTAATCCACTTTTAGTGTTGTACAGAATGAGTTTAAGTGAAGGAGTATTACCTGATGCTTGGACAAAGAGTGTCATTGTTCCCATCCCCAAATCACACTCAGATAATTATAGACCCATATCTCTAACATCGTGTGTTTGTAAAGTGCTTGAACACATTGTTCTTAACCGACTCATGTATCGTATACAGGGGCACCTATCACCCCAACTGTTTGGATTTATGCCTGAGCTCAGTACACAACACTGTTTTGCTGAGTACTTCGCACATATTGAAGCTTTCCCTCAAACAGTCTTCATCGACCTAGTAGCAGCTATTGATACAACAGAGAAATCATACTGGAAGAGCTTGCCGAGCTGGGAATACAAGGAAAATTACTGAAATGGATAAAGGGCTATTTGTCTAATTGAACAGCATATGTTTTGTATAATGGTGTTAAAAGCACAGAGAGCAAACACTTTGAATTGGGAAACCACAAGGAGGGGTCCTCAGCCCCTTGTTGTTCAACGTTCTGATGCATAAACTTATTAAAGATCTTCCAACTAATAATGAAGACACGGTCATTTGTTATGCTGATGATATATGTTTACAAGCTGCCTCCGAGCCTAGAATGCAAGTTCTGCTCGATGCTTTTGCTACTAGAGCTGAGGAATGTGGCCTCCTTATCTCGATATACTAGATATACATAAATATAAATAAATATATTTGTATATCTATATAAATATAGATATACAAATATACTAAATATACTAGATATACAAATATATCTAGATATGTATATCTAGATATACAACGACTGGTATAGATATACAACGACAGGTACAGATATACATCAACTGGTACAGATATACATCAACTGGTACAGATATACAACGACTGGTATAGATATACAATGACTGGTACAGATATACATCGACTGGTACAGATATACAACGACTGGTACAGATATACAATGACTGGTATATACACGACTGGTATAGATATACAACGACTGGTACAGATATACAATGACTGGTATATACACGACTGGTACAGATATACAACGACTGGTACAGATATACAATGACTGGTATATACACGACTGGTATAGATATACAACGACTGGTATAGATATACAACGACAGGTATAGATATACAACGACTGGTACAGATATACAATGACTGTAGTTTTTTCTCCCCGATCAGAAATACAACGACTGGTATATACAACGACTGGTATAGATATACAACGACTGGTATAGATATACAACGACTGGTATAGATATACAACGACTGGTACAGATATACAACGACTGGTATAGATATACAACGACTGGTACAGATATACAACGACTGGTACAGATATACAACGACCGGTATAGATGTACAACGACTGGTACATATGTACAACGACTGGTATATACAACGACTGGTATAGATATACAACGACTGGTACAGATGTACAACGACTGGTGCAGATGTACAACGACTGGTACAGATATACAACGACTGGTACAGATATACAACGACTGGTACATATGTACAACGACTGGTACAGATATACAACGACTGGTACAGATATACAACGACTGGTGCAGATGTACAACGACTGGTACAGATATACAACGACTGGTATAGATATACAACGACTGGTACAGATATACAACGACTGGTACAGATATACAACGACTGGTATAGATATACAACGACTGGTACAGATGTACAACGACTGGTACAGATGTACAACGACTGGTATAGATATACAACGACTGGCATATACTACGACTGGTATAGATATACAACGACTGGTATAGATATACAACGACAGGTATAGATATACAACGACTGGTACAGATATACAATGACTGTAGTTTTTTCTCCCCGATCAGAAATACAACGACTGGTATAGATATACAACGACTGGTATAGATATACAACGACTGGTATAGATATACAACGACTGGTATATACAACGACTGGTATAGATATACAACGACTGGTATAGATATACAACGACTGGTATAGATATACAACGACTGGTACAGATATACAACGACTGGTATAGATATACAACGACTGGTACAGATATACAACGACTGGTACATATATACAACGACCGGTATAGATGTACAACGACTGGTACATATGTACAACGACTGGTATATACAACGACTGGTATAGATATACAACGACTGGTATAGATATACAACGACTGGTATAGATATACAACGACTGGTATAGATATACAACGACTGGTACAGATGTACAACGACTGGTGCAGATGTACAACGACTGGTACAGATATACAACGACTGGTACAGATATACAACGACTGGTACATATGTACAACGACTGGTACAGATATACAACGACTGGTACAGATATACAACGACTGGTGCAGATGTACAACGACTGGTACATATGTACAACGACTGGTACAGATATACAACGACTGGTACAGATATACAACGACTGGTATAGATATACAACGACTGGTACAGATGTACAACGACTGGTACAGATGTACAACGACTGGTACAGATGTACAACGACTGGTATAGATATACAACGACTGGCATATACTACGACTGGTATAGATATACAACGACTGGTACAGATATACAACGACTGGTACAGATATACAACGACTGGTATAGATATACAACGACTGGTACAGATATACAACGACTGGTATAGATATACAATGACTGGTACAGATATACAACGACTGGTACAGATATACAACGACTGGTATAGATATACAACGACTGGTACAGATATACAACGACTGGTATAGATATACAACGACTGGTACAGATATACAACGACTGGTATAGATATACAACGACTGGTATAAAAGACTCCACATATACAATAGTACTTTCTTCCCCTTTAGTTGCCTGTAGGATTTAATGCTCCAAGGAGGTTATTATCAGTTTTTGACAACATTTATATGCGGGCTACAATATATAGGTTTTGACATTTTTCCCTAAAACACATTAACATTTTTGAAAAGCGTGAAGGTGGCCGGGACGAAGTTGTCAGGGTGCGAGTGGCCGGCCATTGGTGGTTGTGGTCACGTGATCACACGCGCTCCTTGCCACCCTCCGCTACCTTCTGGTCCTCCAAGTATATATTTTGACACAATATACCCGTCAGTGTGTCACATTTTGACACTTAACACTTGATGGGTGCACTTGTATTTGTTCAGATAGTCCGCAAATTATTTTATTCAAACTAATGGGGGATTAAAATAGGTGTTGTGGTTGTGTTGACGGTGAACGGTGAGGAGAGGAGCGGTATCTGGCGTCCCATCCGGGCTGGTGGCGGAGGTTATCAGGAGAGCGGCCCAGACGGTGTGGCCGGCCGCACCCTCCACCACCCCGCACACCCCTACACACTCTCCGTCTACACCCACACTAGTTGGTGTGTCACCTAACCCGCCCCCACCACCCAGTCACCCCTCGCAAGGTAGGTCACTGGCGGAGTTTGGCAGCGCTTTGTAAGGGTGGAGTGATTGTGTTGCGGTTTACATGTGATGGTGGTTGTGTGTGTGTGTGGAGATTTGAATGGTAGTTAGCGTCAGTAGTTGGTGGTGTAGGGAGGCGGCCCCTACACTCCCTGCCTCTCCTGCACCCTCCTCACTCTTACTTATACTACCACACAACTCAAAACTGCTTACTACACTAATATTGTTATGGTAAGACTTGTATCGTGTAACGTTATGACTTAATTTGTGGTGATTGTAAATATTATATCTTGTGTTATTGTGCTTAAGCTGAAGTATTGCTGAGTGATTGTTATTAATATACGCTTGCTATAGCTGACTAATACACTTTAGAACTGAAGTATAGACACTAAACGCTGTGTGTTATATTGCTTATACTCTCATCTGTGTATGTTAATGTGATTTATATATAATGGTGTATTGAAATAGTGAGCAGCGAGCAAGCACTATACATGTTAGAAGTGTCCTCATATATAATTACTGTGCCACTACAACAATTTAATAAAGCCTGAATGTCAAGTCCATAGCGTGTCCAGCATAATATTTGATGATAACTAGCCACAACCAAACTGCTGCCTGCTTTACACATTGATATATCACTAGTTTTCGTAAATTATGAAGACCTTTTAGGCTTATAAAGGTCCCCCCCTAAGCCAACTACATACCCAGGATACATTTCACAACAGTTTACTCAACAAGCCTACCTATTTACTGCTAGGTGAATAGAGGCATGAGGTGAAAGGAAATGTGGCCAAACAACTTTATCTTGCCGTTGGATTCAAACCCGGGTCGGCCGGGAGCCTACTGCACCGTCGTAATATTATTCATAACATAATTCATTGTGTCGGGAGGGGCAGGCAGCCAGTGTGTATATATATACACGTTAGGTTTTTATCGAGGTGCCCCGAGGGTGACATTCCTGACCCTCCCCAGGATACATGCCCACAAGTTGGGTTATGAGTAAGAGTATGAGGTGTGAGAGGCAAGGTGCAGGGGAGGTGTGCTTCAGTACAATAGTGGGCCCAGCTCTTGGGTCAAGCCCTGGCTCTACTCTCTACCCACCTTCCTCTCCACACTATTCTTTCATCTCTACCATCTTCCAGCTCGCACTTTACCTGGACAATCAATTGATTGAGTAGGACACACATCCCCGCTCCTATGCCAGGTAAGTACACTACGGGCTCACCATAGCCCGTGCTACTTGCAACATTTAGTTCCCAGTAGCTGAATCTAAAACAACAAACAGGACAGAGTTCATTCATTGCCAGGGGCTGCCAGGTTCCCCGCAGTCACATGGGAAATGCTTTTCCTTCTTTTTTTGCTCTTTTAAGTTTGCCGCGGGTGATGGGGAGGGGGGGGGGGTAGCCAGTGTGTAGTGTGGGTAGGGGGGGGGGGGGTGACCAGTGTGTAGTGTGGGGAGGGGAGGGTGGTGACCAGTGTGTAGTGTGGGGAGGGGAGGGTGGTGACCAGTGTGTAGTGTGGGGAGGGGAGGGTGGTGACCAGTGTGTAGTGTGGGGAGGGAAGGGTGGTGGTGACCAGTGTGTAGTGTGGGGAGGGGAGGGTGGTAGTGACCAGTGTGTAGTGTGGGGAGGGGGGTGGTGACCAGTGTGTAGTGTGGGGAGGGGGGTGGTAACCAGTGTGTAGTGTGGGGAGGGGGGGTGGTAACCAGTGTGTAGTGTGGGGAGGGGGGTGGTGACCAGTGTGTAGTGTGGGGAGGGGGGTGGTGACCAGTGTGTAGTGTGGGGAGGGGGGGTGGTGACCAGTGTGTAGTGTGGGGAGGGGGGTGGTGACCAGTGTGTAGTGTGGGGAGGGGGGTGGTAACCAGTGTGTAGTGTGGGGAGGGGGGTGGTGACCAGTGTGTAGTGTGGGGAGGGGAGGGTGGTGACCAGTGTGTAGTGTGGGGAGGGGGGTGGTGACCAGTGTGTAGTGTGGGGAGGGGAGGGTGGTGGTGACCAGTGTGTAGTGTGGGGAGGGGGGTGGTGACCAGTGTGTAGTGTGGGGAGGGGGGTGGTGACCAGTGTGTAGTGTGGGGAGGGGGGGTGGTAACCAGTGTGTAGTGTGGGGAGGGGGGTGGTGACCAGTGTGTAGTGTGGGGAGGGGAGGGTGGTGACCAGTGTGTAGTGTGGGGAGGGGGGTGGTGACCAGTGTGTAGTGTGGGGAGGGGAGGGTGGTGACCAGTGTGTAGTGTGGGGAGGGGAGGGTGGTGGTGACCAGTGTGTAGTGTGGGGAGGGGGGTGGTGACCAGTGTGTAGTGTGGGGAGGGGGGTGGTGACCAGTGTGTAGTGTGGGGAGGGGGGTGGTGACCAGTGTGTAGTGTGGGGAGGGGGGTGGTGACCAGTGTGTAGTGTGGGGAGGGGAGGGTGGTGACCAGTGTGTAGTGTGGGGAGGGGAGGGTGGTGACCAGTGTGTAGTGTGGGGAGGGGAGGGTGGTGGTGACCAGTGTGTAGTGTGGGGAGGGGAGGGTGGTGACCAGTGTGTAGTGTGGGGAGGGGGGGTGGTAACCAGTGTGTAGTGTGGGGAGGGGGGGGTGGTAACCAGTGTGTAGTGTGGGGAGGGGGGTGGTGACCAGTGTGTAGTGTGGGGAGGGGAGGGTGGTGACCAGTGTGTAGTGTGGGGAGGGGGGGTGGTAACCAGTGTGTAGTGTGGGGAGGGGGGGGGTGGTAACCAGTGTGTAGTGTGGGGAGGGGGGTGGTGACCAGTGTGTAGTGTGGGGAGGGGGGTGGTAACCAGTGTGTAGTGTGGGGAGGGGGGTGGTAACCAGTGTGTAGTGTGGGGAGGGGGGTGGTAACCAGTGTGTAGTGTGGGGAGGGGGGGGGGGTTGTAACCAGTGTGTAGTGTGGGGAGGGGGGGGGGGTTGTAACCAGTGTGTAGTGTGGGAAGGGGGGTGGTAACCAGTGTGTAGTGTGGGGAGGGGGGTGGTGACCAGTGTGTAGTGTGGGGAGGGGGGTGGTGACCAGTGTGTAGTGTGGGGAGGGGAGGGTGGTGACCAGTGTGTAGTGTGGGGAGGGGGGGTGGTGACCAGTGTGTAGTGTGGGGAGGGGGGGGTGGAGACCAGTGTGTAGTGTGGGGAGGGGGGGGGGTGGTGACCAGTGTGTAGTGTGGGGAGGGGGGGGTGGTGACCAGTGTGTAGTGTGGGGAGGGGGGTGGTTGTAACGGGGGGTGGGGGGAAACAGCTCTATCTTGTCCATTATTCCACCCCCCCAGTTAACTAACGAGGCCGGGGGAAACAGCTCTCTCTAGTCCGTTATCCCGTCCCCAGTTAGCTAACTATTCTAGAGCACCTCCAGAGTTCCTAAGGCAACCTCTCTGGTTCAACACCTTGTAACCTAGGTATTCGACAACCTAGGTGCTAAGACTACAAGGCGCCGTAACTTGATCAGTTACCCGAAACTCTAGAGAGAACTCTAGAATACATAATCACTGCCACAAACGTATAAGAGAAGACGAAAGGAAAGAAATGAATAGTGAAGTAATTAGTGAGGATTTGGGGTGAGAGGGAGAGAGGTGGGAGGAGCGAGGATGGTCATTAGTTGAAAGTGAGAGTTTAGAGAAGGGCGGAGGGAGAGGTGTAGATAGGTAGAAGTAGAAGAGTAGATAGTAGACGTAGAAGAGTAGATAGTAGAAGACGAAATGCTGCCACCATCCATTCATGATCATTACATACAAGACAAGGAATGGAACTTGCCTGTATCACAAAATTCTCAAAAGATGTTATCATGAGTTCATTATTAGTATGTTCCCTCTGTACCATGTATCAACTCCAAACATGTACTCGTTAATATCATGAAACCAGTAACCACAGAGGCTTTCTCACCTCAACTCAAAATCTCTAGGGAACAAAGTTAAACACAATTTAAATAATAAATTCATAATTATATTTCCCATGAAGTATCATAATTTAGCAATTCAATTAAAATGTTAAAGAGAGTCATCATCCAAGAATTCGAGAACCCTACAACTTGACTGCCCCTGATCATCACACAACATATGTAAACACGACCAAGTCACCTTAATGTTCACTCACCGAGGACTGAGTCTAAGTTGAATAGAGAGGGGGGGGGGGGGGGGTTTGTAGTTGACGGAGACTCCCGCCCTGCCGGCCGACAGCCTCCCTGCTCTGCTCGTCTGCTGTTCTCTTGATTAATGCTTCATGCTGGATAGCTCTCCGAGTTTATATTGGGGAACCTAGTAGCTAACTCCGCCCACAAGTAGATAGCCTCCGGCACTACCAAGCCACTCCTTAAACGTCGGCATGTTTGAAGGCTACCGGACTACAATTATAAGCTTAGCGGAAGCAAGGTGAAATTCTCATGATCTGACCTCAGGTCACTTGGGGTCGTTAACGGTTAGAGGTGTGAGATCTCAGGCAGACAACTGGCGCCTCTCCGATCCTTGTCTGTGACTCATGTACTCTATATATATTTTAAATAAACTAACTCAAACACTTTTACAGTGTTACATGGTGACCAGTGTGTAGTGTGGGGAGGGGGAGGGGTGACCAGTGTGTAGTGTGGGGAGGGGGAGGGGTGACCAGTGTGTAGTGTGGGGAGGGGGAGGGGTGACCAGTGTGTAGTGTGGGGAGGGGGGGGTGACCAGTGTGTAGTGTGGGGAGGGGGGTGGTGACCAGTGTGTAGTATGGGGAGGGGTGTGTGAGAGAGGGAGGGAGGGAAGGATGGATGGGGAGAGACGTAAGAGGTGAGCGAAAGACAGGTGAAAGAGAGACGGTGAGACACATGTTAGAAAGTCACTCTGTCTGTCTCCGAAATGAGTCTCTAGGAGCAAGGTTCAGATGAGCTGATGTAGAGTAACAGCTCTTGCTTGCAGTTTCAAGAGATTCGTCGTTTGACAGCCCTATGAGCCCCTAGTCTTTGTTTAAAAAAAAAAGAGGCGTAAGAGAGGGAGAGAAGTGAGAGGGTCGGGGATGAGACGGCTGTGTACCTGACCGTACGGGTTGTATTCCAGT